ACACTATTCCTACATGACTGACAGCTCAGTCACATGACCACCAGACATAAAACTTCCACTCCTACCCCTGCAGTCTTCAGGTCTCCAGGTCTGAAGGCTTTGCACATTTTCCTGATGCTTCCCTGCCTGTTGGAGCTTTATCATGATTTTCTTTTGAAGAGTTTAGTTTTTTTTTGGCCTTTTAGAACTGGAGCTGTTTGGAAACACACAATTGAATCAATAGGGCCACCCAGGGCACCGTGTGATGTTTTTCATCGGAGACGGACACCCATGGAAAAAGTAGAGTGAAACCCACCTCTTTGTTACTCTGGTATAAAAGAAAATAGACGTTATTTTGGTTGTTTATTGATTGATCTTCTGTACCCAGCTTTTTCTAGAATCATCAAATGACAGCAGCTCTGATCTTCTATGTATTATAGATTCCAGGCCTGCGCTACCAGTGAGAAATGAATTTATTTTACCATCATCTTCATTTGCTCAGGTGCCTGCCAATGTTTTCATAAACGAAAGCGTTCGGCGGGGTCTCTGGCGACAGGGGTTTGCACACTGTAACGTGATCCAGCCAGGGCAGGTGTTTGGGAATGGGAGACGCTCCGAGAGAGGAACACCAGGAAGCAGCTCACCCTGCTTTCAGGCCTGAGCAAACTTATGCAAAACGGCGCAGCTGAGCAACGCGATACTGGCATGCCTTTCGCTGTAGTAAGGGGAGGCCGGCGAGGTGCTCTGGGGAGCAGAACTCAGTGGACCAATGGCATGCCGGGGGTGGGGTGAGGGCGGGGCCTAAGTCGCCACAGTGGCATGGGGCCCAGTGGGACTGGAGTGTGGGCAATTCTACATGAAGAAAGGACAGTTATAGAGAGTGGAAAGCGCCCAGAAGCGAAAAACAGACAAAGAAAAATAAGGTGGGGAAAAAAACAAAGGCTGAGAGGGTAAAATGCAGGAAAAGTACTGGGCTTTCAAACGTCAGTGTAACATTCAGACACCGCAGGAATATCCCTGGATTAGGTAGCAGGTACCTGGTAACACATTACTATTGTACAAAGGATCTTCCACGACTATTTTATTTTGGCTTTCAAGTGGGTAAGGAGATCCGATTTCAGTCTGTCCTCTTTTATGTAGCGTGAACTACAGGCAGCCAGAAGGAATGAAATAGACAGAAACTCCCAGAAGGGCAATTGACACAAAACCCATAGATATGCACATGGAGAGCGTGCGGACAAAAGGATCCTTACAGATACAGAAAAGATACGGGAGAGGCGATGCTAAAAGCATTACTAGCCGCAGAATGTTACTTGTCAACGTCAACATGTGTGTTTTACAACTTTTGGTTATTCAAGGTCATTGAAGTTTACAACGGAATTCCCCCTTGTGGTGTCCCGCCACTCCCTCACATGTCCTTAATCACTGCATCACCTACTGCTCATTCTGCCTCTTTGAATCTCTGGTTTTAATCAGAACCCAAATTGGCGTAATGTGAAAAAGCCTGGTCATCCCAAAGTCCTGGTTCTGCTGCACACCAGTATGGATCGCTCTGCGGGTGTTAGTACCAAGTGGGTGAAATAATGAGAATGAGATGATTGAACAAAATGGAGGGCCTCATCCTGCTGGGTAATTATGGAATCACCACATGGAGTTTACAAACAGGGTAAACATGATAGTTGAAAGGAACCTCTTGAGAGACCCACCACAAAGGGGAAAATCCATCTGCATTTAAACCGGTTACTGAAAAATAACAATAATGATGACAATTTTGTAAAGCTAGTTGAACTGGGAGGAGAGGTGTTTGAAGTGAGCAGTGGAACCATCAGATTGTTCATTGGGTAAATCTTACATGAGGAAATTACATTTTCTTGTACATAAGTCTTAGATATTAGCACATAATTGTGTGAAACTTTAAAGTGTCTTCACAAAGAATGCCTTATATAGTAATGATTTTGGGAAAAGGAAGGTTGTCCCTTGTACGGCATCGTTTTCTTTCTACCCTCCCAAGCTCATTTTCATTATAGAGCAGAAAAATCTAGACAAAAACAATAGCATAGACCAAACCCACAACGGCTTCTGCCAAAACAGGGAGCACAGATATGAAAATTCACGGTTGGATTTGCCCACATGTTGTACTACGAGTCAGACCTGAAGAGAATTTCTAACTTATGTAACTAGTGCCCACAGAGCAGGTCAAAATCAACACAGACTATTACGAAATGTCAGTTTGCCGTGATTATCTTTGCTGAGAGTCTAGTCACCAGTTACATTTTACGTACACATTACATTCTATAGGTAGACATTTGCAATATATAAACTCTTGATCACATTTGGATTTAATCTATTCATCTTTCATTTTGCCCGTTACAAACTGAAATCGCCCTTCCCTACGGACAACATGTACAGTACATATGTTTGACTACGCTAATGAAAACTGGCATCCTGGATCCCCTGCTTGTAGCCTTGGGGATCTATGAATTAACAGTAAAAATTGGTTGGAAACATATACCGCGCCTTTCAAATCCCTGGATTTGTTGTGCAACTAAATTGTTTTTAGGAGACACAACAAAATTACAGTCCCACGTAACTATGTCATTAGCAGGAAAATGCACCACTATGGAGTAAAACATTTTCAAATGGCTTTAAACAATACCCTGTAATCAGTAAGGTGGGGGCTGTTCGCTGCCATGCAGCACACACAGATTGCACGTGGGGGGGTACACACAAAAATAAGCATGAAAATTCAGGTCATTGCTTATGGGAGGACTGCAGGAAAGCAGGTTGTAACAACACCCAACCGTTCATCACTGGATTAGTAAGTAAGAGCATAATGGCACTGAAGTGAAAAAAAAACACATAATTTAATATCGTCTCATAATGCAGCGATAATGGTGGGTAATTAGGAAGCTTGTCTTCCAAGGGGAATGGATTATCTTTATGTTCTATGTTTTCTCCGTATTTTTATGTAAACCTTGTGTACTGAGAGCACTTCGCGTTTTAATATGCGCGCATATTAGGTACTAGCGCCGATAATTGACGCAAGGAGGCGGCACGTACGTTACTCCACGCAAGTAACACCAGTGGCCTGTACTACGAAGCGGGGTTACTGGCTTATTGGGGTAACTTGTCGGATTTAAGGTAGTCTGGGCAAAATGTAAGTTGAACGAGTATTTAGTCTATTTAAACTGTGGTACATTAAATCCGACAAGTTACCTCGATAAGCCAGTAACCCCGCTTCGTAGTACAGGTCACCGATCCCTACCACATTTACATTTATTTATTTCGGAGACTCTTTTCTCCGAAGTCACGTAGTAATGACAATGCAGGGTCAGTTAGACCCTGGCGCGTCTGAGGTTAAGGGCACAGAGTCCTGCCCCCCCTGAGCCGCACAATGGCCAGAACAGAATGTGGCAGAACTACCCACCGAACCACCAAGGCACACATCCAGCTTTACGTTGAGTGAGCTTAAATTTATTTGTAAATAAGATTTTTGTAAATGTCAAGGCTAAATATCCCCCATGGTCAGCTTTATCTATGAAAGGGGATTTAAAGGATTACAATCAAAGTACTACCTGGCACACATACTTTACTCTCTTTCTCTACCTCCACCCCAAGCTCTATCTTTCTCTCATTCTTCTCTTTTCCTCCCTTCCCTTCTCCCTCTCTTTTGGCCCTCAGTCTCCCTCACTCTCTCACACACTTTCTGACTCTTCCTCTCCTTCATGCACTCTTTGACCCACGCTCCCTCTTTACTTCCCTCCACCCTCCTTGTCTCTCTCTCCGTCTCCCTCCCTCTCTTTTTTCTACACTACACTGTTAGTGATTCTCTCTCCATCCGCACAATAACTGCAGAACCTGGTCTAAACTAGTTTCAAACATTGCACAACCTCTGGGGATAGCTGTTCTTACCAAACGTGCTTCACATGTTGAAATAGTCTATCTGAATTTACCACCCATTAATTCAAAAATGTACTCTTCAAGGGGACGTTGTCTTTGTACTCGTGCCAAAAATAGTCCTGCAGCGTTAAGCCAAAATTAATTGACATTCAAGTCATAAACCAGGGTATTCAAATACAAAGTATTTTATATTTAAAGGAATTACATGTTTAATTTGTATAATATAATTTCAACAAGACATATTCTTTAAATAAGCATACATCTTTCTAAGTTAGCCGTTTTCAAAAGTATCCATAATGCGAGTGAACACATCAGGATAGGAAATTGCTATAGAGCAGTTACTATTAGATGCAGTTTATTATCAGTAGAGGATATGCCGTTATGTTAGCGTTAAGTTCTTAATGATGGTGTCCTTCCCCACTGCGCCATCGGCTTGTCCGGGCTGCTGTATTTCACTGGAAGGTGTTCAGGTGGTGACGTCACCGCTGGTCTCACGGGACATGAATTAGTAAGTGAATTGCGGCGCCCTCTTGTGGATACTGGACAAACCGGTCCGTGTTCTATTTATGGGGAAACGCACGTTTGCTTGCACGCAGTTCAACGTTTATATTTAGCAGACCACGGGATTTGAACCGGACCCGCGGAGCCACATTTTAATAATGATTTTCACTGAAACTGTCAGATTAGTTATGGGAAAGGATGGAAAACCTAGCTGAGCTCTTTACAAACATTCCCAGTAAAATGTGACAGTGCTATCATCCAGTTTGACCGCCAGAGTAGTTCTGTTTGTCATATACGAACAAAACGTTTAATTTTTATTGCGCTAATTGAAAAGTGTAAGGATTAAAAGATGATTTTGAAATAGTCAGAAAACTAGATATAATTTAGTCAGGGGCATGTTGCAAGATATGAGACGTGTTTCTAGTATTTAGTTATTTGAACAACAGCTCATGCTAGACACAAATATTTTGATAATCTAGAAACTTCAGTCAGGGACAAAGAGAGTATGTCCTTGAATGGTGGAACTCACCGGTCTAGGCTCGCTTTTGCCTTTTCCCTCCTTGCTCTTGCATACTTATCTTTACTAGCTAGCAAGTTCTAGGCGTGTTGTCTACGATGCGAGTGTCTCATTGCAGTTTAAAAAGTGCAACGAGGGGATCCTGGTGCTGAGCAAGATGTTTTATCTGGTGCAAAAATTATCCAGCTGTATATATGGGCAAATATAATTAATCTACGTTACGAATTGTTCTGTTTATTATTATTATTATTATTAGTAGTAGTAGTAGTAGTAGTAGTAGTAGTAGTGCAGTTATACTTAAATTTACTTAACATTTAAATTAAACAGTCAATTGTCAGCAAGGTAGTTATTTTACTCCTGTCCACTTGGCGGAGACAAACCATCTGGAAGCTTTTAATCCGGAAGGTGGGAAAAGAGGAGAGAAACAGCTAGAGGAAGAAGCAGCAAGCAGCTGCTGGAAGTGACTCTGCGGCTTGCTGTGCGCTGCGGCGCTGTCCTGCAAGATGCCCCCCTTCGCTTCGCTGTGGGCCGGCTGTGCGGCCCTGCTGGCCTGCCTTTCCGCCGCCCGGGCTCTCTACTTCCACATCGGGGAGACTGAGAAGAAGTGCTTTATTGAGGAGATTCCGGACGAGACCATGGTGATCGGTGAGCCCTGGACGGCGGCCTACCGGCCTTTTAACCCCGCTCTTACTCCGTATTTAACCTCTGTCTGCTCACATTCACGCCGCTGCCCTGGCTACTGAAAGGGTTTTGCTTTTTGCCTCCTTTGGGCGGTATGATGGTGCTGTTACATCGGGCCACCCGGGCAGGTGCATGTCAGAGGTGCTGCTCCGCTTTGCCACGTATTTGCTTTTCGGACACGTCGTTGTTGTCGTCCTTGTTGTGATTATTAATAATAAATATATTTAACGGGTTTATCCTTTTGTCTGTGTCCGATGTAACATGTTTTTCCCATATGGAAATAGGTTAATCTGTAGACGGTTAGAGTGTAGTTATAAAAATGACTAATTCTCAAGACTCAACCATTCACTATAGTAAAATCTGTCTTTGACGAATGAAATTTGTTGTGTCTGTCTGTCACTCAGGGAAGTACAGGACCCAGCTGTGGGACAAGCAAACTGGGTCTTTTTTGACCTCCACACCTGGCCTGGGGATGCATGTCGAAATCAAGGACCCAGACACCAAGGTAAGCCCCCCCCCCAGTACAGATTTACAGGGCTGAGAGGATCAGAGGAGTTTGTGTTCAGGCAATCATTTGGCAGGACTTGTCCCAAAAGAGACTGATGTAGGGAAATCTTTTTTTTTTATGAATTAACTTAAAGTAAAGTCATTTTTATGAGTTAACATAAGTAAAATTTGGGAGGGGAAAATATGCAGTTGATGACCCAAGACATGTGTCAGGGTCATTAAACATGTTAAGATAAAACAGACATTTACTAGAAAAAGCAACGCTGGTATGATAGATATGTGGGAAGCCACATTGTAAATTTGTTACTGACACGAATAAATGAGACCAAAGGACATTATAGGTCAAATCTATTATGACTGACACAAAATGCATAAATTAAGATGGCTTTGTGAAGCATTTCACTGTGTCAAGTGTCAGTTCTAATAACTTATTAACTAGTAAGAGCTAATTCTGTATAGGGAAGATGTTAATGGGGGGTGGAGGTAGGAGAAATAAGTGTGGGTTTCAACACCTGTTGTGGGGTTGCCATGTGCTTTCCATAACTGGTTTAGCCACTTCTTATTGGTTGCCAGGGGGTCTGACTATACAAGACAATAATCCTGCCTTCTGCAGTTTTTCAAAAGCCTTGTCAACAAACAAAGAAATGAAGGGAGATGTTTCTCTGATATGCGAATCGGTCTTTTCCTTCTGTTTCCTGTTAGATCGTTCTGTCCAGGCAGTATGGCTCTGAAGGACGCTTCACCTTTACTTCACACACTCCGGGCGAGCACCAGATCTGTCTGCACTCCAACTCCACCAAGATGGCGCTGTTCGCAGGTGGAAAGCTGGTAGGCAGGGGGCGACAGAGAGCAGCTTCCCAGCTTACACACACGACACCACCTGGTGACACAAGCCAGGTGCACCTTTCACACTACAGATGAAGCATGGCCATTTTTAAGTATATCTCCTTCTCCCCCCCCCCCCCCCCCCAGCGAGTACACCTGGACATCCAGGTAGGAGAGCACACTAACAACTACCCTGAGATTGCAGCCAAGGACAAGCTGACAGAGTTACAACTCCGAGTCCGACAGCTACTGGACCAGGTGGACCAGATACAGAAGGAACAGAACTATCAGCGGGTGAGTCTGGGCCGGAGGGACGGCATGGTCTAGCGTCCCTTAGGGGTGTTTGTAACACATTCATGAAGCATAGACATTGTTTTTTTCCCTCAGAGATATTGTTTGTGGCATAAGGATGAGCATATACCGCGTCTTTAACCAATGTTTTAACATCATGATCCTAATAGCAGTTGTGTACATTGTCTTTGTCCTGTGTTGATTTTTTAATTAGCACTATTCTGTACATTTTCATTTCATCATTTGAATTCCTACGGAGATGCATCCTGAGTATGAGTTGGTCCTGAGAGTTATCTGGGCTTGAAGGCTTTCTAACCCGGTGCTTTGCTTACTCTCCAGTACCGCGAGGAGCGTTTCCGGATGACGAGCGAGAGCACGAACCAGCGCGTGCTGTGGTGGTCCATCACGCAGACCATCATCCTGCTCATCACCGGCGTCTGGCAGATGCGGCACCTCAAGAGCTTCTTTGAGGCCAAGAAGTTGGTGTAGCCGTGCCCCCCCCCCCCACCCCCCCCCCCCCCCCC